TTCTGTTAAATTTTGCTATTCTTACTGGGGTGAGATGATATCTCATAGTTGTTTTGATTTGCATCTCTCTTAGAGGTAGGGATTTTGAACATTTCTTCATGTGCTTGTTGGCCATCTGAATGTCTTCTTCGGTGACGTGTCTGTTCATATCCTGTGCCCATTTTTCTATTGGATTATTTTCCTTTATGTTGTTGTGGTGTACAATTATGTTTTATAAAATTAATCATCACTGGACCTTGCCCATCATTACCTGGTCTTTTCACCCAGATTCTTCCCATTTCCTGGCCCCCCCATTTCCACCCACCAAACTGTGCAACAGTGTGTGGTTTCATCCCTACCCAACCTCACGCCTCCACTCCCGGCCCTTCTGTCCGTGAGTTCCCAAGCAAGTTTTACTACTTATTCTTCTATTTTTACAATAATGGTCTTATGCAGTATTTGTCTTTATGACATACAGTTCACTCAGCAAAATGCCCCGATTTTTTTACTCAGTCACATGGCCTACCACGTGGGAAATGATGCAACATTCACTTTCACAAAACGATGGCTCAAATGAGTCAGGGATGGCAATGATAGCACAAGATAGACCAGGGTTCGAGTCTATTATTCACGGGGTCGCTGTGAATTATACTCGACTTGATGGCACCTAACAACAACAGCATCCTGAAACAGAATGCACTCAGCAGTTAGGTCATATCCCTGTTAATAAGAAAGATTAATGAGCACAGCTGTTTATCAAATTTACCCACAAACCATAAAAAATACCAAAGAGGAACAAATTGAAGAGAATCTCCAACTTCTGAAGTCAAAATTGATCAAATGTGCAATCAAGTTTTATTAATAATGATTGTTGATGGGATTGCAAGAGTCAGAAACAAAGAAAGCTCAGTTTGTTAGGAAATATAAGCCCTAGTGACATACCCTGGACCAATTGCATCATAATAGATAGTGAAGTGTTAACAGTTTTTGTTTGCTTGGCTCCATAATCAATACTTTTGTTACCAGCAGCCAGGAAATCAAGAGACTACTTGCATTGGGAAAGTCAGCTGTCAGGGACCTCTCCAGAGTACTGAAGAGCAATGATGTTAGGCTGGAGACTAAGGTGCATGTGATTAAGACCATAGTCTTTACAATTGCGTGCTATGTGTCAAAGAGCTGGATGGTGACTAGGAATGATAGAAAGAGAATTGATGCCTTTGAGCTGTGGTGTTGGAGAAGAG